TCAATGGCTTGTGATTGTCTTCTTATTCCTATGCCCATTCTCTGTTTCAGGTTCCAATTGATTGTTTTGAGGAACCATGGGTTCTCTTTCGTGGCAAAGATGGGAAACCAGGATGTGTTCGAAACACCTGTGCACATAGAGCATGTCCTCTCCACCTTGGTTCAGTGAATGAGGGTCGAATCCAATGTCCTTACCACGGTCAGTGAGAAATATAGTAAATTATTTGAATTTCATGTAAATAATGCTTATAAATGATAAAGCATAAGATTAAGCAGTGACAGAAAGAATAGATCACTGATTCTTGAAATTTTGTTGATCAATAAACATCAGGCTGGGAATACTCAACAGATGGAAAATGTGAGAAAATGCCTTCCACACGATTACTTAATGTGAAGATAAAATCATTGCCATGTTTTGAGCAAGAAGGTATGATCTTGGTTTGGCCTGGTAGTGACCCTCCTGCAGCAAGCCTTCCGTCATTACAACCTCCTCCAGGTTTTCAAGTCCATGCTGAGGTATGATTTCTAGATACTTTAAACTTTTGCAAAAGATGGAAGGTTGGCAAATTATGCTTGTGTGATTTATTAATAAACATGTCACCTCATAAACGTAATGCCTTGCATAAGATAGATTGTGATGGAACTTCCAGTGGAACACGGCCTACTTCTGGACAACCTCTTAGATCTCGCACACGCCCCTTTTACTCACACATCAACCTTTGCCAAGGGGTGGACCGTTCCAAGGTTTGTTCTTTTAACTTTTACTGTTGAACTGGAACAAAATATCCCTGAAGATAGTAAAGAGATTTTATCAATTAGAAGAAAAGGTTTGTCTGTTTTTCAATGATTTCCTCATGGTGAATCCGTTATTTATTTCAAATGAGGTGAAAGTCAATGTACAATTGAATGCACTACTGTCTGGATTGCAATTTGCAAGTCGTTAATCTGTGATCAATCTGTCCTATATCTGATTGGTGCTAGGAATCAATTCACTGGTGTTTGTGGTGAAAGCTTTTATGTCAGGGTAAGGAATTGTGACTTGAACTCTCTTTGTTTTGTCTGTGATCCAAATCCTCAGCTTGGTGAAATTTTTGACGCCTGCATCTAGCCTCCAAGGGTATTGGGACCCTTATCCCATAGATATGGAATTTCGACCACCTTGCATGGTGTTATCAACCATTGGGATCTCAAAGCCTGGAAAACTAGAGGGTCAAAGCACCAGGGAGTGTGCAACTCACCTTCACCAACTTCATGTTTGCTTGCCTTCCTCAAGACAAAAGACTCGGCTATTATACAGAATGTCACTGGATTTTGCTGCCGTGCTGAAGCACATTCCTTTCATGCATTACCTATGGAGACATTTTGCTGAACAGGTACAAAATTTCCCTTCTGTTTTGCTTTATATTATGTTTATTTTTACCATATTATTACTAGTTTGTACTAAAAAACCACCAACATGGCATCACTTGAAACGCTGCGCGATCAAATAGTTGGGAGTTTGCCACAATCCCACCAATCTTGATCCTATTAAATCCAAGTGAAACGGTGCCACGGTGGGAATGGTTAATAATAATACTAATACCTTTGCCATAACAATTCTCTCACATTTCCACCCAATATTCAAACTTGTATGAAACAGGTCTTGAACGAGGATCTACGACTAGTCCTCGGCCAGCAAGAGCGGATGATCAACGGTGCCAACGTGTGGAATTGGCCAGTATCCTATGATAAACTAGGAGTAAGATACAGACTCTGGAGAGATGCTCTTGAAAGAGGAGCAAAGCAATTACCGTTCAGGAAATCAACTTAAAGAAAAACAAACTCTAGAGTGGATTTTACTTCTCTGATAATCGACCCCCTCTTCCAACTTAACGATCTCGCATTCGCTTGCAAATGAAGCCAATCACTGTTGAACGGTAGTGTGGTCTAGGTTTTGGTCTCTCAAAAGTAGAGTCGCAAGAAACCCAGCGGAAACTGTTAATTGATCCGAGGCAGAGACGAGATAATGGTGATCTGTACAGCACAAAGCCTTTGTAAAATTAAGAGAAACTGTACACTCCCATTATTAATTTTGTGTACAGTAAAATCTTCTTCTCTTTCTTCTTTTCCTCGCTTTCCTAGTTTCCTTTTGATTCCTCTTCCAGCCAATGAAGACATCATCAAGATTTTTTTTCCCAATTTTTGAAAAACACTTTAAGTGTTGGATTAGATGTAAATTTCTGTATCATAATGTATTATCATGTCCCATGGAAGTTGTTTTAACACTTCATTTCTTTTTCTCAGAAAGCAAACAGCTTCCTTGAATTCCCGTGAGCGAATTACTTCTTTGTTGCTACACAAAACAAAATCAGACCAACCATTGAAAATAAAAAACTTTCAGTAGTCGAAACAAAGAAAAACAATAATTTATTGTTTATTATTACATATCAAGAAGCAAAGCCCAATTCCACCCAAGGTCCCAAACCCACGATTTAATTACAGAGAAGACCCACAGAAAGGACAAAACTTAAACTCAGGCTCAACGCCCCGGTCACAAAAATGACACCGGAGGCTTTCTGTAACCACCGGTCGCGGCAGGGAGTAATCTGACTTAGGAGGTGGATGAGAAAAAGATTGGGGGAATATAAGGTTGCAGTTGTTACAGTGCATAGCAGGTTCGTTACCGGGCCATTTCCAGACAGGAATAAAGAACAGCTTCAGAACTTTCTCGTACTCCACTAGATCAGCTTTAGAGGCGCACAGTATGCATCTGCCAGCACCTGATTTCAGGACTTGACGCACCTGTTGCTCTACTCCTCCTACAAAGAAGAAGAACATCTTCTAATTTATGCTCTGTCTTTGCTTTCGTGTCTGTGTTTTTCTTTTCTGTTTGGGTTCCGGGTATTGCTGAAGAAATAGCGGTTGAGGGCGGCTTCACTTGCTAGTCCCAGAGGCTTCTGGGGTTCTCTTTCCTTTTTTTTCTACTGACTGCTATATTGCCTGCTAGGCCACGTGTAAATGCTTCAATGCACCCATTGAATGGATAGTTCAATGAGATGCATTAATTACTTTCTAAAGTAATTTTGTTTTTTGAGAAATTCGAAATAACTAATTTGATGCGGAGAGATTCGATAAAACAATTTCCTTTCTTTGGACTCTCAAGTTTCTATTGCTATCTTAATACTAGAATAAATTAGTTTTACATTACATGAAATTTTAGTGAAATTTTTTTTTAATTGGTTCTTTTTAAAATAAAAAAGATAATTGTTAATTTTGTTTTTAGAGGTGTAAATGTACAAGAATGACAAATTTCAACTAGTATTGTCCCATGTAATTAAATTGCTTTTTTATACAGTGAGAAAACTACATGCAGATTTTATCAGGGTTGTATGTGAAAATAAGTGATGAATTTATTTAATTTTTATCTGATATGATATTTTTTTTATATTAAATTTTTTATTAATATGTGTATAATATTCTTATATGTGAATTTCCTTTCTTTGGACTCTCAAGTTTCTATTGCTATCTTAATAGTAGAATAAATTAGTTTTACATTGCTTGAAATTTTAGTGATTTTTTTTTTCGATTGGTTCCTTTTAAAATAAAAAAGATAATTGTTGATTTTGTTTTTAGAGGTATAAATGTAACAAATTTCAACAAGTATTGTTCCATGTAATTAAATTGCTTTTTTATATGGTGAGAAAACTACATGCAGGTAAGATTTTATCAGGGTTATATGTGAAAATAAGTGATGGATTCATCTAATTTTTATCTAATATGATATTTTTTTAATTAAGATTTTTATTAATATGTGTATAATATTCTTATATGTGTATTTGAATTTGAATTTTATTATGTGTTCTTTTTATTTAAGAATTTTATCCTTGATAACGTAATAATTAAAAAAGGGAATTGTTTAGATGTTATTTATGAGTTATGGTGAAAATCGATTGGGTTGGTTTTATGGAAAAGAAAATATGGAATTTTGTTAGGTTTGACTGGTTTATTTAATGAAATTTTGGTGAAAATGAAAGAGGATGTGTTGGGGAAGATGATGGAGAGGACGCTAGATTTCTTGATAGGTAATACATGCTTGAATGCGGCTGGAAATTGTTGTAAATACCATGATTTATGGTATCTTTGTAATTAAATAAAAAATACCACCAACTCGTTCCCAGAAAAACAGCTCAACAGCTGTCATCAAAGTGCAAGATGATGGAAAATGAAAAATTAACCAAACCTTGAAATGCTCAATGTAATTTCCCCTTTTACATATTATTTTTGCTACTAAAAAAACAAATTAAGTTCCTATTAATTTGCAAAGATTTATTTTTAATGCACCATAAGCTTCATGGCACACGAGGAAGGTAAAAAAATGAATTTTATGGCCTAGAGTATTGAATCGTTGGTCCATGCGTGAACAGCATAACTACGAGCCAGCACCTCGTCCTCGGGTAATATTTATTTATTTATTTTTAGATTAATATAGATATTCGAGTTAATTTGCACATATCATTATTAATCTCACGCGTCCTGAAATTAACAATTATATAAACCTCCAATAATCATTATATAAACAATTAAGAATTCAAACTTAAAATCACAAAAAAAAAAAAATTTTTATCACTTGCCAACCACCTAAATAATTCGGACCTAGATAATTCGGATAATATTCATTTATTACAGTAAGAGAAGACGACCACTACACTACTAGGCTGGATTCTCGAAAATGGAATGTATTCAGGAGCGTGGTTGTTGATGGAAAAGAAAATCATGGAATTTTATTAATGACAATGAATTTACAATGTAGCAGAACCAACAAAAAAGAAAGAAAATTGCAGTTTGCATCTAACAGCTATCTATCAAAGTACTGAAAATCATAGTTTTTAAATCCAGCCCGGTTCAAAGCCCGGGTTCTGGATTTTAACTAGGTTATTAAATTTTGACCGGGTTAGATGGGTCGGCCGAGTTAACTTTTATTTTTAAAAAAAATTAAAACATCATTTTAATTAAAAATCAACTTCTATTTTTTTTAAAAATTAAAACATCATTTTAATTAAAAAAACAAAAATCAACGGGTTGCAACCGGATTTTGCTGGGTTGTCCGGGTTTCTGGGTCAACCCGCGAGGTCGGACGGGTCACGCCGGGTCATAGCTTATCCTATTTTTTTCATCAACCTGGTCCGGTTCCAATCCCGGGTCGACCTGCCGGGCAGGCCGGGTTTCAAAACACTGCTGAAAATGCAAGAGAAGGGCAAAACAACCCGAAGATCTAGCCAAAGAAACACAGCAGAACCAGCAGCAGCATCAGTTGCGGCAACAGGACTGCAACGCCAATATCAAAAGTAGCAATGCAGTAGAAACATAACTGAAACTGGGATCCACCTCAAGTATGGCAGGCACAATGGTATGCAGAATCGCAGTGAAAGGAGGAAAACATTTACTCCTCTGGCCGGGCCCTTGCACCAGAAATGGGACTTCGTGACTCGGTAGAAGTGCCAGCAGTACATGTTGAGAACAAACCCCCGAGGTTTGCAGCAACACAAGCAAAAATGCTGCTAGTAACCCTGCAGTAACAAAACTGGCAGCATTTCAGCAGATATATATATATATATATATATATATATACAGCACTGTTGCAATGTTCTCCTCGTTCAAGGCAACCGCAGCCAATATCCATCCACGAGCAGAATCCAGCTAGGCAGCAAGCACTTCAAAGGAGGATGGGTGCATCGTAGTAGCAACATAACCAACGAAGTGAAGAAAAGAATATGAGGCTAGGGCAAGGGACCATCAAAACAACAACAGAGCAATACAGCAGCAGCTGTAGGCTACCCGTTCTTGTTTTGCTGGAGCTAAGGTATTGGACTGTCCAGCCAATCAGCAGACAAGTGCGTTGTTGCTTTATTCTGATATTCAACAAGCCATTGATTTGAAGATTAAAAGTACCTTCAAGAGCTACACACTGACAGCTGAAAGTTGGCCAGCCAAAGCCATCACCGTATCAAACATGTCCGTAAGTGATTGTTATATTCAACTTCAATAGCGATCCATCTTCTGTGTAACATCGTGGCTCTTTATCACTGGAGATTTTCTGCATGCATTATCAATTTTGTTTAGTTGAAAGAATGTCCTTGGCTGATTGCTGCATATGATCTATTATTTCTAATATTATGAAACCCCACAACATGGATCACAAAGGGCTTGTGACAAAGAAGAACTTGCTTCCCTTATTTCTGGTCTACTTACCCAGTTAAATAGCCCCGTTGTTATAAGCTATATGGGATCCATATGTATCATAAGCAATTCCAACTATAATACTAATCAATTATTGGGAGTCCCATCACCTAAAGGAATTTGCTCGATAGTCTCACATCCGATGGAAACGACATTTGAATTGTTTGTACCATGGCGATCCATTGAACTTATCAAACTTCAAGAAGCCTATAACCAGGAAATTTGCTGGGCTGGGGTTAGTACCATCCATTACTATTTCATCGAGAAGTCTATACCCTAAAAAATTTGATTAATACTCAGATTTCTGCAGCAGAAATATCTGAATCCTACCATAAAATCTTCATCAAAAACATGAATCCCAGTTGTGTCAGCAGGTGCTATTCTGACAGAAGACACGGCAATAAAGATCCCTAAGGTTATAGACTTCTAACTGTTCCTTGATTGCCATTTCATTACTCAATCCAATATTGCAATTGCTTAATAAAACACTTCTCAAAACTCCGAGAGTTCCTAAGATATGCCCCCTTGGACCAGATAATGGTCTTAATACTTCCTAGGCCATCTAGATTCCTGAAATGTTCAATCCTTAATCAACGAGACTATCATCCTCTGAGAAACTGATAATAGACCTCACTTGTCTCCATTATATGCTCTGCTCCTCCAGCATAGAGGACAAACATTCTACACAAATTAGAAAACAAGGGGAGATGGCTGGGTCTCCTTCATGGAGTCCCATGGAGGGGGTCAAGTAGCCCCCACTGAATAAGCTCAAAATGTAACTGATATAACCCATTCAAGCAAATACAAATTGAAATACCCATAACATTCAAGTTAACAAAATTTTCACGAATACTAAATGCACAAAGACATGATGCAAGAAATTAAGCAGCAGGACCAAACCCCAAAATCAAGATTTTCAAGAGATATAAAGAACAAAAGTACTAAAATCTTCACAAGCTTGAAACTTTGAACGTAAAGAATGCAAGAATTCCACGAGATTCTTTTCCTTGCCTGAATGGTGATTGGTCCTTTCAATAGCGTTTTTGAATCATCTCCGGGAACATATTCCCCATTACAATTTCATTTTCTCCAGCAAAGACATCATTTGCATCAGGGACGAGGCATGTCTCATGGACTTGTTACAAGAAGAATCCACAACAGGACACTCTGCAATCAACAAATCTTTAGTTGGCTTCATAATAATTGGAGTAATTATACCAGAATCAATCTCCACCATCTAGTTTAATTAGGAATTGAAAAGGAAATTGATAACTACTACATGGCAGCAAGTAACAAATAAACCCCCGCCTACCTCATTTCCTTGTATTCAATTTGACAAATGGCCAGGTGATTCAATGGGCAAAGCGATTTCTCTAAAGCCACAAGAGTTCCAGCAATCTCCATCATAGACATGCAAACCAAAAGCAAGTAGCTTCCAACCAACAGTCACCAAAAACTTTTTAACTCTGCTATATCAAACACTTCCCAAAAAGGCTGACCCGCAACGATTAAGTGGCTGGGACAGCCTTGATTGTCCTGATTAGCATTGATTCCTTGGTAGCCGCCTCGGTCGTTTTGCGTATATTATATAATGTATCCTCTGGCTTCCCCTGCCGTTACAACAATAGAATTGAATCCTTGTATCAGATACTGAAGACACAGCACAGAGAATAAGTACAACCAATTTTGGGGTTTTCTTTGTTTTTGAGATTAAAAAAAAAAAAAAAGTCAGCAATTCTAGGCTCTTCTTTTTAAAAATCGCACATGCAGCAGAAAACCCCAAAATCTATATATATATAGAGAGAGAGAGAGATTTTTACCTTGATCTAAATCATGCAACTCCAAGAAATATCCATTCCAATCCATAACCTTCGATCATCAAGGCATGGCAAACCGGCACAAAGGGCACAAGTGGCTAGTCTCCAGCCACCTAACAATACAATCTCCATGAAAAATATGCCCACAAGGCAAACACACAACCTCGCTACCCATCAAGAATTCCTCCAAGCATACCATGCATTCTTTCATTGAACACAAACCCTCAAGACTCATTCTTTTTAACCCATCAATACATGATTTACTTGCAGGCTTGAATCTTGAAGCTTCTTGCATTAAAGATTCGCTTAAAGCACGATCAATCTCTTCACGTTCATCATAAGGAGTAGTAACATGGATGGCCAAAACCATAGTTAGTACCTCGCTACTACTAGCATTGCAGGGATTAGTAACCATATCTAAAGCAAAAGAGGAGATATCAGGGGCAGCACTCTCAATGAAGTCTGATGAACAACCCATGCTAGAAAGTATTTCTTCAACGATACTCTCACGATTTACATGTGATGAAAAGAGCTGGCGTGGAAATAGGTGGGATTCGATGGTTGTGTTTAAAGGTATTTGTATGGATTCGGGGTAACATAGCTCAAGAACATGGCTGAATTGTAAGTGGATGATGATTGCATCGGTGGTTGGGGTTGTGGAATTGTTGCTGTCAACGTTGGTACTGAAATCCTGGCGCATATGATATTGATAAATGGTTGACGGTGCCATTAGAGAGAGAACGTTTTTTTGTTTGAAAGCTTTTAATTCACTCGGCTCTTGCTATGATATGGGTTGCTTAGGATATAAGAGAGTGATTTGCCTTTGAGGTGGAGTGGTGTGATTTTATAGCGAGATTACTGAGTCGGTTCTGTTGCTTATCTGATTTGAGAATGAGCTAACATTTGTGTAGTTCTGATTTCCGAGATGTAATTCTCAGCTTAGTTGTTTTTTTAATTTAATTTATAATTACATGTAATTTCCGATAGTCTTTTCTAAGTTATTAGAATTGGAATTAGATTAGAATTATATTTGGAATTAGAATTAGATTAGAAAAATAAAACTAATTAGCCTAGGTGTTTCGCTCTTTCAATTATTCTGGACTCCCCTTTGCTTCTTCTTTTCTTTTCTTTTTCTTTTTTTCTTTTCATCCTTTTGAGTTTTTTTTATTGCCATATTTTTTTGGTTTTTAATTAGATCCTTTCATAGGTGGTTGGCTGGCTTGAGATTTGAAGTGGAAGTGGACTGTTACACGGTGGCCGGTTCAAGTCTTTTTTTAATTAAAAAAAAAAGAGCTAAGATGATGCAATCACTTTTAAAAAAAGAATTGAGACCCAGTGATTTACTGTTTAACGGGTTAAACTAATTTAAATTATAAAAATAAATAATATAAGAATAACAATAAAAATAACAATATTAAAATATATTAAAATTATATTTTTAAAATGTTTTTTATTTTAAAATTTATTAAAATAATTTTTTATTTTTTTAAATTTATTTTTTATGTCAGTATATCAAAACAATTTAAAAATAAATGACATATTTAAAATTTAATAAAAAACAAGTTTAATGGTGACTCAAACAGACATTCAAGCTTACAAAATCATCTTTAATTTAAAAATCTAGACTCGTGGTTATGTATCTATTTAAATTTTTTAATTTTTAAAATTTATTTTTAATATTAATGAGATATCAGAATAATTAAAAAAATTAAAATTTAATAAAAAAAACACAAAACCGAACACACGTGCACATGTGAGGGTTTACAGCTTCATCTTTAATTTAAAAGTGTAGGGTATGTATCCATTCCATGTATTTGTCCTTTAACAATTTATATGTGCAGAAATTGGTAACATGCCATGAATCTTAAAAAATGTTTGATGATATTTTTTTTTTTTTTGCGCTACAATATCGGTGCCCTATAATTTTAGCTTTGATAGTCATTGAGTGATGAAAGTATAGTAAAATTTGGTTTTTAAAATATTGTTTTATTTGAAAATATATTAAAATATTTTTTTTAAATATATTTTTTAAATTAGTATAAAAAATTTTAAAAATAAAAGAAATTAATTTAAAATAAAAATTAATTTTTTTAAAAAAAGTTCAATTTAAATGACAAACCGCACCAAACAAGGAGAGTCATTTTAATAATAATAAAAAAGACAAAAGGAGAGAGAGAGAGAGTCTTTGTTTCAAACCTACGTGCCTCCTTGGCCTGGTAGATTTGGTGCACCTTTTTCCACGAGCTGTTTTTACCTGTTATTTTAATTGGTCTGTTAACAAAATCATTTCCGGGGGAAGTAATTTAAAACTTAATCTTTGCGGTTTTTAAATAATCAATTAGTTGGTCTCTAATCTCTATGATTTAAAAAATAACAAATGTGCCCGTTCATTTTTACTCACAACAGTCAAAATACCACGTCATTGGTTTTATTATATCTCTTATCGTAAAATATTATTTATTTATATAGTATTTTTTGGTATTTTTTATTAATACTTTATAAAAAATATATTTTTTTAATATTAAATATATTTTTTATTGAGTTATTTTATTCTACACGGATCATGAATTAACACAGTTTTTCTAATTTTTTAATTTAATTTTTTAATATTAAATTTTTTAAAAATTAAATTTTATAGTTTTTTTTATTTTTATTAGATTATTTTAGTCTTGTGATACGTTAATTTAATTTAATTTAGATTATTATTTGTGTTTTTTTAATTTTATTATTTAATATTAAATTAGTTAAAAATTAAATTTTATAATTTAACTTATTTTTATTAGATTATGCTTATGACATCTGTCGCAACCAAGTGTAATTGTACGGAGGAGAGGCAATAAAACTGTAAAAAATAAATCAAGGACCTTGTTTCACGAAATAAGCAAAGTGGGATTCAAGGTCACCGGAGCAAAACAAATTGCTGCTCATATTTACGCAAGGTAAGGATAAAGTTATCACTCGAATTCTTCTTTGGCCATACAGAGTGGTGTAAAGAAGGGCACACTGCAAATAAAGTACATATTTCAATTAAGAAGATAGAAACCAAAACAGAAACCAAGAACTAAAACAAAAGATGCAGGAAGCCACACATAGCAGAGGGCAATGAGGTTGGAGAATTCTGGCACAGAAGAAACAATATCAGCATGTACCTGAAAGGCACATTCTGAGCCGTCCCGCAACTTGTCATCATGCTTTAGTGTTGCCATTATGGTTTTGTCACAGCCAATCTGCAAAACGAAAGGAACTGGTCAGTATTTAAAATAATTTCATAGGAACAGAGTGAAAGGATTTCTTTCTTTCGTCTTCAAAATTACACCCAGTAGAAGGCATTTCAAATGTGTTGTCAGGCGGTGCAGAAGCTAGAGAAAAAATGGATAAAAAAAATGAATACGATGCTCAAACTATCCAACACTTGATCATCGAGCCCAAAAATAATTATGGTACAATCCAACTCAATATGATGCTTGGTATGGGGATGAAGATCACATCAACCAGCAAGTTTAAGATGAAGTTCTTCAAGAAAATACAGACCCCAGGCAAATCAATATCAGGTAATAGTAATAAACCTGGAAGGAAAGAAACAAAGGTTATTATATACATTAAAAAATAGGAGTCTTAGGCAATAATCAAGGAGCTCCCGGGTGTCAATGGGTGATTGGCTGAAAAGCAGGGAAAACAACAGGACACAGTCAACCATGAAAAAACACCTTTGGTCCCTATAACTTCAGCTTTAATCATTTCTCGGTTCTTATGATTTTAATTTTTCACCCAACAATTAAATAGCTGAAACCTAACGAAATTCCCATCTTTTTATCCAAAAAATAACAGTATATCATAATGCAATATTGTTTTCAGTCACAGCATCACCAAACACTCCACTAAACCTAAGGAAAACTGACCACGGTTTGCTAAATGTGGAGGCGTTCCAAACTTTGTAGGTGCTGCATGAAACCAGGAAAGTGTGGGAGCCAGCAAAAGGGTTAGATATTCAGAGTTAAATGATTTAGCAAGAAGATGAAATGCATGTACATTAAATCCATGACATGCAAACGAAAAGAGAGTTCCACAGATATCAAAGGGGGAACATGGAAGGCATCAAAATAGAACTTTTTCACAAAATTTACTACTTTGAAACATTAATAATTCTGAATTCCCTCCCATTTAAACTCTGGAGTTCTCAATTCTAGCAACTACATAAATTAGATGGAATAGGATGAAACATGGTCCATGATATAACAATATAGATAAAATATAGTTCAGTTGTAAAATAAGCAAACAACAGATGTCAAAGAAATTGCTCACCTGCTGAGGTTGCAGTGAGCGTGTATGTGCTCCAAAGGGAGGACCTGGGGGTGGCGGTACACCTTGAGATCCCGCTAAAAATTGGGGCAGCCCACCTGGACCTCCAGCAGAAAATGGCTGCCGTGATTGCATAGAAGAAACTGGTGGAGCTTGAGGGGGAGGGGGAGCTGAAACAATCGGTGGAGATCCCATACGTGGTGGTGGGGTACTGCTAACTGGAGGAAATCTAGGCCCACGAAGCATAGAACCAGAAGCCAACGACATCCCATTACTCACTGCTTCATTAGGTAGCGCGCTCAATGCATTAACTGGACCAGAACTCAACGGAGAAGACGAAGCAAAAGGACTCGGGCGAACCCCTGGCGGTGGCGGAACAGTAGAACCACTAAGGGAACCAGGAGAAGGGAAACCACCAGAAGGAGGCACTGCGGGACCACGCATTTAAGAGGGCATTGGCCCCGGAGGCGAGGGTCAGGACGCTAAAGGAGGTGGGAGCTGGCTAGCAGGAGGGCCAGTGGGTCGTCATGCGCTACATTGGGCTGTAACAAGGATGGTTGGGATCCTGAGGGCGGCTTTCCAGTTGACCAAATAGTGGTCCCAGGCAGGGAAGCCATTGAGAAACCTGGGGAAGGCCTAGAACCAGAATTGGGCATGGCAAGAGGTTGGTTTAAATTCAAATCTTACCTGCATTTTGACTTTCAAAAAGAAAATCAAGGTACTTTTAATGATCTAATTCACTAACAGTGGTGTCTTCGAATCTCAAAATGTCACAAAGTTCATTTATAAACAAATATTTACAAGTGAAGGACTTCGTAAATATCAGCATTTTACTTTTGTTTATGCGGTCGGATTATTCAGATCATGACGGATGTTATGTTTGACTCTCTCACCCATTACATAACCAGCCAGTAATACACACGAAGTTGGATAAAAAGAAAATCGAAAGATGCGGGGGGAAGAGCAAGGATCCATCCATGGATGTCATGAGCAGGTGTCCATTGTTATAAAAGAGGAAGAAGAAGAAGCAGGTGACCCCAGCCTTGCTGGAACCTCTACAAAGCCAGCCAAAGCAGATTAACCAAAAATAGGAGTTTAACTCTGATGACTATAGTTCTTGAAAAAATTATCCAAACTCGGCCATGTTAGAGAGGTTATTCACGTAGGTGGTCACTGAAGCACTTGGCAGATAGACTGGAAAGAAAGAAGGATGTCGAAGCAGGTATAAATTCCATTTTCCAGGCCTAAATGGCTCAAGTTCACGGAAGGACGAGTAACAGCCATTTGCCAGTGGCAGCAAGCAATATAGCCAATAGCATTCATGTATTCTTGTTCAATAACTATACACCCGTACAGCAATCTTATCTTTTGGAGTGAGCAACAAGATTTAAGGTAATCAGTCCACTCCAGACAAGCACGCAACAGGGCTTTGCATGCTCTCAGAGCTGAACGCGTGACATCTTTGCGAGGCTTCATAGTTACACACAACTATCTAAACAGTGAGGACTTTCAAAAGCAAGTACTCACAAAATTAACTAATTATACAGGTTTCCAAACCGTAAGCACCTCTTCAAACATTTCTACCATCAATTCCTTGTCGGCATGCCTGAAAAACTTACTGATTTCATCTCTAACATCATAAATTTTTCCAAAGTCAAACAAGTAAGCCAAGCATCCTTTCTTCAGCTTGTTCAACTGGTAAAGCCAAGCCTCTTGCATCCTCTCAAGAACATTCATGGTATTGATGTCTTCCAAGAGGCTTTCCTCGCAAGCATCCTTGAGGGCTGCAATGTCATATTTGTTCGCCGCCCCCAGCAGTGATACACGGTGCTTCCAAAAATCCTCTTGCTTGATGGTTCCATACAAGTAACTCAAGAGAGTCATGCAAGATTCCAGTGTCATATCTTCTATGTTGATTGTGGAGGACTCCTTTTCCCTGAGGCCATGGTCGAACATGCTCTTGAAAACAGGCGAACTTGCAGAAAGAATTGCCTTGTGTGCACTCAGAGTGCCATCAGCAGTATGAATGGTAACGTCAGCATGGATGGCCTCATCCAGCATGCGGGAGAGACAGCGAAGTGTGCCTTGAGTTGAAACAGATGGCATCATTCCATCACCTGGCCATATGGAACTCGCTTCCCCACCCTGATTTGTTGACAGGAAAAAAATTGGATTTTTAAACCTTGAGTACAAGAAAAATGACAGCAGTTCAACAATAACCAGACAAATACAAAATATTCACATGCAAGATCACATTCCCATCTTATGTGCTGTAAAATGTATTTTCGTCTAAAGATTCATCTCAGATTGTGCCAGTTGAAGAGGAAATGAATCATGACTATTGTCCACCAAAGTTCGGCTTTGGGCTCAAAATGAAAAATCAAGCCATCCAACATTATTAGTTATAAACTAAAAGCACCATTCAGCAATTAACACCATGGCTTCTCCAAAAAAAAACATAGTCTAAAGGTGCTCACATTCAGAGGGCAGATTTTGAGGTCTAGAAACTCAACATCAATGATGAGGCGACCATGAAACGAAGAATCAACAGGCCAGACAAAGTCCTCACTTGTCCTGAGCGATCTCTCTTGAACTGCAGCATGAAACAATTCAGTGTCACAGGAATCCTTTTATAATAAACATTACACTCATTTCAACAACTAGGTGCTTTCCAAGAAAAATAAATATTTACTAATCTGTCAGAATTTACTTTCACAATATTGCTCAGAAAAGGAGCGACAAACTCATTTATTAAAGGACAGTTTTCTTCAGATTCAGAAAGCATCAAAAATCTGCCTGACATAATCTCTAACAAACCCACATTCCATGTTGTTAAAGGAATAGGAATCCAAACCACACAAATTGTTATGTTAACAAGCACGTTACAGTGATGAGCTCACAGTCTTCGCTTTCTAATTCTGATTTCAATTTTGATAGTGTTCAGTTAGACCTCCCTTTATGAGATGGTTAGGACTCGGACAGATAAGTTTATCATTACCCGCGTCACTAGATCAGTGAGGAGATTCCTACTTCCTCAGTATATAGCGATTGGAACATACAAGCAAGACTTCTGGTAACGAGTTCATGGTGCTAAAACTCATAATAATTAGAGTTCATGGTGCTACCTTGAATATACTTCGCAGAAAAGAAAGCCCCGGCAAAAGGCCTCCTTTGCTAAGGAATCAAAGCCATTTGGAAAAAAAAAATGCAAACAGTTCCGTATTCTGGATCCCGATTATAAATATCTCTGGTGCCTTCCAGATAACCCAAGAGATGCCCGTGTTTTTCCTTGATAACATCTTTAAGCTTGCACGGTTACACAGACTCCATTGAAAATCCCGCATACAAACATGTAATAAGATAAAGAAAAGAAAAGGATAGACAAAGAGAGCGACGGAAGCATGCCTGTGGAGATATAAGGCCTGCGATTATTAGCACCAGCATTTGAGACACGAAGAACAAATTTAGCGATAGGAGGCTGTTCTTTGGAAGCTCGAGACGGCTCTGGAAATAAACGAATGTACAAGTACCGATTCTTCTCTATAGACAAGTGCCTAACAAAACAAAACAAAATAAATCAACTAAAACCATAAAATCTGTGTTTGTAGATACTATAAATTACTAAACTTACCAGTTCCAGATTCCGACCTTGAAAGGATCGGATTTTTTGTAGGAGAAAGAGCCAAAGTTCTCGATCCTCCACTGGGCTAGTCGGGAGATGGTATCTACCTTTGAATCTGCCATGTCACTCTTTATCGTTCTTCCGTTGTCTGTGGAGAGGTTGAAGGAAGGGGAAATTCTGATTTGAAAGCGAGACATTAGACTGGACGAGTAGCAGACTTGTGGTTTAATTAAAAGCCCTTTTAAAAACATTTTAGAAACACTTGTACCGTTCAGGGGCGTCTGTCCATGTGTATGAAGTGGTTTTTGTTTATGAAATTACTAAAAAGCTCAACCTTTGTATGTCAATTTTTATAAATTACTGTTCGGTCAATGATAAAAGAAAAAAAAGGATGAAATTGTTCCTATATTTATTAATAACCATTTAAAAAAAAATATGAAAATTTTCAAATCTTGAAAAGGCAGACCACGTTGTCGTTTCTCTGCCCTTGTTGAATCCAGTTTCAAGAGAGATAAAGAAATTTAGAGAGGGTCTGCTTGAGAGGTAAAATGAAAAGAGAAAATAGAGATGATTTAACTTTTTATTACTCTTTTAATTTTTTCCATCTTCTTCCTCGTCTTCTCCGTCGCCACATCATCGTGGTTGTCACCGCTCCTTACCCCCACGAACAACCCACCAAAAACCACCACTCCCAGCCTCATATAGGAACGACAACAACAGGGCTTGCGGGATTAGTTGTGGTGTGCGCAAACTGACCCGAACACCCACGTTAATCTAAAAAATATAAGAACGACAACAAAAATTTAATTTTAAAACGTTATATATTTTAAAATCCAATATAATTACAAATAAGGTGTTTTTTAAAGTTTAGACAATAAATAATTATATATTTATATTAATATTTTATTTTTCATGAATGATTAATGATGAAAAATCTCCCAACTCCATAATAATTTTTTCCATAGGGTTTAGGAATTATTAAATGATAAAATCAATAACTTTTAAAATAATAATTGTTATAAATGAGAAAATAAGTTATAAGTTTCAAGATCAATAATATAATGAATGCTATTGGATTTAAAAATATTGTTGTTTATAAAATATATAGAAGGTATTTATAGTATTTGAAAATATAATAGGTTATTGAAAGATTTATTTTTATATACTTATGGACACAAGAATATAAAAATTTCATATATTAACATTTTATATTAGAAATCATGAAAATAAACAGATAAAATTTTATAACACAACATATAATCTATAATGATTTCTTGAGCCTTGATTCTTTATATTAGACATGTTATCATACTTATGATTAATGAGTATGGAAGCAAGTCAAACCCATGCTCGAAATTGATAGGTCAAGAAAATCGATTTATTTTAACTTAAAAGGTAAATGAATCTAATGATTTTGACATAATAGCTCTTTAAACTTGTATTTACCTATACTTGGTATATGGTATGACCTAAAAATATTAGATATGACAATTTATCAAATTTGTATTTATTCAGATTCAATACATAGCTAAATCTAAAAATATTGGATCTAGTAATTCATCATAATCATGTCCATTTACACTTAAGGATGTTTGGTGTAATAATTTACCAAAATGTGTTCGCTTAAGCCCAGTATCTAATTGAATCTTAGGATACCAGTCTAGTTAACTTTTTAAAATAATTATGAAAAATTATTTAAGAAAAAAATACATTTTTTATTAAAATTATATCTTATAATTCATGAATTTTTTATTTTTTAACAATATTTTTTTTATTATCAACACCATTAATTTAATAGAAAACAACTTTTTTATAGGAAAAAACTAGAAAAAAAAACTAGGATGATTTGAAAAGGAAATAGCATATTTTTAAGAAAAAAACAGTTATTTTTTTTTTGACAAAACACTTTTTCATGAGAAGTATTATTTTGTGAGCAAAAACTTATCATGTTAATGAACAATGAAAGTAAACTTAAATTAAAAATTAAAAATATTATAAATTCATCATCTATATGCAGCTATATAAAAAAACAAGAATAAAAAAATTGAAAAATTACATAAAAATCCACAATTAAAATATCAAAGAGAAAAATATTTTATTTTCATTCAATATTAAATAATAAAATATTTTAGAAATTCTGCATAACAGGCTAGTATATAACCATCCACAAATCATTTGATATTATCACTATAAAAAAGTCTCAATATTCTTAAAAATAATAGCATAATTCTTTTTAATCATAAGTACTTTTTTAATCATAATTTAATTTAATTTTAGAAAATCAAGCATTAGTATAATATTAAAATGTTTTTTTAACATCCCAAGACCCCCACAGACACCGATCAAAATAAATCACCAGAGCCATTTCGCAATCAACGGAACGTGGAGAGGTAAAAGTGTACAAAAGGGTTGATTAAAAAAAGTTAAAGAGGAAAAGAGGGAGCACACGGTCGCATTTCATTGTTTCATGAGTGGGTGTGCACTGTTCCCCCCTTCTCTTTTAGAGTTATTCTTCTGCTAAGCATGTCAACATACTGTCCTATGTTTTTTTTTTTAATCTAACTGTCGACAGGCCGTACCAACCTTGATTCTTTGCCAGTTTCGTGGAAGGGCAAAAGGGGCATATTCATTTTCTATATAAATGCAATGCATTCCAATTTGATTTTTTTAATTAATATAAATGTTCATGCTAATTTATATTTAATTAATTTTATATATAGATACGAACTGATAATCTATGATGAGTCAATTTAAAATCTAATTAATTTAACTACATTCCTAATAATTATTCCTATTTGATCATGATCTGCTTTTCTCTGCTCGCTCGCCCACCCTCTTCCATGGTTGTCTGGTTCGATTTTGCCGAATCATCAGAATTAAATTTGTTCTGGCCACCGCTATATTCCTTTTCTTTACAGGTTTATTTAAGGAAACATGCATTATTTCCGGATCATTTATAAACCATCCTGACCATCATCACAGGATTCTTTTCTTTCGTTTTGTTTTAAACGATGAAGTTTAAAAGGAATGATTTCACATTGCAATTATTAATCTTTAAAATACTTTCTCAAAAATAATTTTAGATGTTATTTGGAATTGCATTTTAAGTAATTTTTTTTTAAAATTATTTCTTAAATAGTTTGCTGTTAAAAAAATTATTTTAATATATTTTTAAATAAGAATTATTTTTAAAAAATAATTAAGACACTTTCTAATTACCATACCAACTTCATTGAAAAAACATAAAAAAAGTATGATGTGAAGCAATTTGAAAATATATTTTCATTTGCGTCACCAAACATTCACTAATTAGTTGTTTATTTGTATTCACTTTTTCAGGACGGTATCCACACCCCCCCGAGATCTTAGTCCTTAAGAAACATATGGGTATAATGATACCATGTACAATCCAAAAAGATTGGCGGAATGATTAACGTATCTATACACTTTGATCTCGTATCTATGCACTCTATTTTTTTTAAAAGAAACTGAATCTTAAAGCCACTATATACGAAAATTTATTTCCTTGTACAGGTGCAAGGGTGCAGTACTATAATATTTGGAAACACCATTAAAATTATATTTTTAAAAATAAAATTTTAAAAAGTAATATTTTTATGTTTTTTATCATTTTAATATACTAATATAAAAAATAATTTTATAAAAATAAAAAATATTATTATAATAATATATTCTCAAATAAAAAATATTATAAAAAATAACTATTACCACACTCTTAAATATTCTATTAATAAATATGAAAGTCAATCCATATGTACATTTAACTCTAAAAAAATAAAAATAAAAATGATAGCATGTACCATAGAACTAGGGAGAGGCAATTCAAACATGTATGACACACACATGTTTTTTAGCTGGTCTCGGTATGCATTTTCTAACCAATTTTCATATATCAAGATTAAGTTCACTTAACGAAATCTCAGGAAATTGTCTATATTCAAACTAGTGTATCCACGATAATAAAAATAAAAAATAAAAAATAAATCAGTCAGTCTTTTCTTAAACTAGAATTCGAGATGATAATAGAAAAAAGAAGGGTCAGCGTGACAAGGTTTGTAATTACTTAAAGATGCAGCAGTCACTATGCCTTCAAGTTGTAGATTGTTCAATATTATTATTTATTGTATCACGATATTATACCTTATCATCCAGTAACACATGATCAATTATTTATTATAAAACCAATTTCAAAGTGACTAGAAATCAACCAGGTGTTAACTTGCACCATGTCACGGGGCTAAATTATACTTTTATTACAATAAAAAATTACCAGCAAATGATAAATTATCCAATCACTACGGACACACTCCACCTCCAAAGAAATTGTTCCTCATCCTCATCTAATCTAATATTTCTAATTTTAAAAAAAATACAAAAAAACCCACCAAGGCCAACTTTGATTTTATTGATTCCAATGGTATCTTAGTTATTTTATTGTATTATTAAAATATAAAAAAATTATTTATCTATAATCAATCATTAATAACTAATAAGCTAATGAGCATTATAAAAAGATCTAAATAGATTTATGACGAGAATAATAAAAGCGTAAAAATACCAGTACGGGGAATAATGTTTCTCTCACAAGCTACAATGAAAATTCCTGATGTTTTAACTTTTTTCTAGTATATTTATTTTCATTTATTATATTCGAAAACTCTTAATTTTATCTTATTATTTAGTATTTTTTTAAGGCAATCCAATGACAATGCCCTGGACAGCTTTAACCAGCGACAACAAGCACCCGTGGCCGTGACCGTTTAGGGTCCCCTGAAAGTCCACCTCCCAACATTGCGTCATACGCCCTCTCTCTCTCTCAACGAAGCCCATTTCAAACTACAAAACCATCCAGACTCCAGCCCAAACCAGCTTCATCATTCTACTAGTTTGCCCCCAACGATAACAGTTGATCGAGCTGTCAATCAGGGTATTCTCGTCAAACCACCCCTTCCAGTCTTCCTTCTCGACACACGTGCAGCCACAATCAATCATCCTCGACATCCCGATCAGATCCTCTTACTCCACCTCCCCTCTCAAAACCAGTGAGAAATTAAAACAAAGGAATAACAAAAAACAAGCACAGAGCTCCATCTAATCCAAGGATCAGCATAATCCATCCTCGTCGCGAAACAAGGAAACAGAAGAACGATGTCTTCGACTTTCAGCGGCGATGAGACTGCTCCTTTCTTCGGCTTCCTCGGGGCCGCTGCTGCCCTCGTCTTCTCATGTAAGCAAAATAATTCTAAATCCTTTTATTTAGATAATCCTGTTTCATTACTGATTAATGATTAATTAGTAGCAGTGGTTTTATTTATTTATCTCATCATTTCGTGGAAATTATCATTAGTTAGAAAGTGGTTGTTTTACAGGCATGGGTGCTGCCTATGGGACAGCAAAGAGTGGCGTGGGCGTGGCTTCAATGGGAGTCATGAGACCCGAACTCGTTATGAAGTCAATTGTTCCAGTTGTCATGGCTGGAGTGTTGGGAATTTATGGGTTAATTATAGCTGTTATTATTAGTACTGGAATCAATCCAAAGGCTAAATCTTATTATCTTTTTGATGGATATGCACACTTGTCTTCTGGTCTTGCTTGTGGGCTTGCTGGTTTATCTGCTGGAATGGCTATTGGTATTGTTGGCGATGCTGGTGTCCGGTAAACCTTTTCGACTCCGCTTTCTTTTCTGTTTGTGTGTTTGTTTACTGAGATTTATGATTCATAAGCTTGTTATTTGACTTCAATCTAATCCAGATAGTGGTTTTAGTAGGGATTTACTGGACTTGCGTTTGAATTTCACTTATGGATAAGCATCCCTGTGAACCATCGTGGAACTAGTTTGTTGAAAGATAAGTTTATTGTAGATTTTGTTCCATAGAGAAATAATTCAGCCTGTAAAGTCATTTTCCGAAGAAGTTTAATTCCACATGTAGACGAGGCTAGCTATATTTCCCCTCTTTAGGAAGGAGCCAGCGCAGGTAAATGTGATAGGCACACCCTTTTTTCTTGAAGAGGATTGGTTTTGTTCCATGCTTTGGTTAATTTATTATAATCACTCGGGAATCTGGCTGGATTTTTGTTTGGATCTTGTCAAAGAAATAAGCTTTAAATGGTGGCTTGCTGCCATTAGCTTATTTTTTAAGTTCTTTTTTTTTTTTTTGTTATCTACATAACTATATAATTCGATGGATGGATAATGTCACAGTAGCCATGAATTGGCTGTCTCTGTTTTGCCTTTGGGTTTATGAGATGTAGCTTTGTTGGACATAATATTTTAGTTTAAATAATAACCTTGTTACCTGTTGAGCCCACCTGTATGTCAAAATATATCCCAAGTTTCAGGTCATTGGATGTCATACATGGGAATTTCATTTTGTATAACGGAGAGTCTATCGCTCCACTTGTAATCTTTAATTTTTTTCCTTTTTCCTGGGTTAAAATTTTGGGGTTCTTTTATATTTTTCAAGCTTGGGTGCATGTTTTCCAAGGATATATTGCAGTTGCTTTTCTTTTTCCTCCATAGGTTTTATGGTGGAAATATAGAGTTAATTTAAGTTATACGCACCCGCAAAATGAGATTATAATTTTGTTCGTCGCTGTATTTTCCATTAATTTTTTTTTCAGAGCTAATGCACAGCAGCCAAAGCTGTTCGTGGGCATGATTCTCATTCTCATCTTTGCTGAAGCACTCGCTCTCTATGGTCTCATTGTGGGGATCATTCTATCATCCCGAGCTGGTCAGTCTCGTGCAGAATGAAGAGTGCCAAAGCTTATGGTTTCTTGATGTCCTATATCATGATTTAGAATGGGAACTGAGACTATGTTTGCATTGTTCGATTCAATTTGCTATAATTGCCAAACTCTTGTATACATGGGATTCTCAGCATCCCTGTAATCTTACTATATGATAAACCTCCCTTCTTGCGCTGAATTCGTGAGTTCAAAACAATTCCCAACGCTGATGCCTTTAGAACGATCCTGTTAATCTTTAAAAGCAAGGTTGATTTTCATGCTTATTCAAATTTTCTTTTCCCTGTGAATGAGCATGCATAGGATTTCAATTTATGAAAAGAACTTATCTACTTATTCAAATTGATGACTGGCATGATGCTGATTATAAGCCGTGAACCATAGACCATTTCTGCCGGTAAAAAGAGGGGAAAAAAACCCAGTAGATCAGTCCTTTAGAAATGCAGGCAGATGTCATTCATTTGATGTGTTCACCTTCTATATGCTTTTATTTGAATCAAGATCATTTCCACATACTGGGTTTTTGATCATTTCCACATACTGGGTTTTGACATGACCAGATGGATGGTTCAAGCATTATGACAGGTGACCGTAATTATATTTTTGCAATTAGGCTAATTGTCTTGTGAGGACTGACGTGCTTAATTAAAGCCCTAAAATTTACCCAGATGATGATGGACGATTCCAATTGATTGGCCAAAAAGGAATCATTCCAGCCGAGTGTCGCCGTTGAGAATCAAAAAACCCCACAGGCCATAGAAGACTTGACCAGAATTGACCACAAGGACAGGCGCATAAACACAAGCAGACACGGATAAAGAAGAGAGAGATGGCGGCAGCATCGGCAACAAAAGCAGAGGCAAGTGGAGGAACCCAATGGGTTAATGGGTTTTGTTTGAAAATATAGTTATAATTATTTTTTAAATATTTTTTTATTAAAATATATGTTAATAATATTTTTTTATTTTTTAAAAATTATATTTAATATTAGTATATTAAAATAATTTAAAAATATTAAAAATATATTAATTTAAAATTAATAAAAAAATATTTAAAATATTTTTAAAACATCAAAATAAACAAATACAAAATAAAATAAAAACCAATGTAGATTTGAAACGAAGACAAGGAAGCATATATTTGTTTCTGTGTTTTAAAAATGTTTTTAAAAATATTTTTTTTATATATTTTTTTATAAACTTTAAATTAATATATTTTTATTATTTTTAAATTATTTTAATATAATAATATTAAAAATAATTTTTTAAAAAATAAAATCATATTATTAATATAAAAAATTATTTAAAAAATAATAACAATCATATTTTCTATGTACTCGTATGTGATGGGAAAGTGATCGACATTGCATTCCTATGGGCCACGTTCCAAGAGGGGATTGGGCATGGCTTATCATCTCTGCGTTGCAGCCTTCAATCATGACAAGTCCACTCCACGTTTATCATCCCCACTTGCTCTTATGTATCCTGTAAGGTCAATCACACCCCTATCTTCTTAGCATGCCTTTCTGGGCCTTCTTTTTTCTGCAGTCTTTGATACTTAATTTTATTCCCCTCTTATTGCTTTGGTGTTTTTAATAGATAAATGCAGAAAAACATGGATGATTGGGGTGTCTGTGGGATGAAGGTAGTGGTGAGCAGTGTTTTTTTTTTTTTTTTGAGATCCATACAAAAAGCAAGAAAAAACAAGAATTTTAGTGGTAGTTTTTGTGCATTAAAAAAAATTGGTGAGTTGCACCCTTTTTTTTTTCTCACAAAAAGCAAGAAAAACTTTTTTGTTCATCGCTGTATTTTCCATTAATTTTTTTTTCCAGAGCTAATGCACAGCAGCCAAAGCTGTTCGTGGGCATGATTCTCATTCTCATCTTTGCTGAAGCACTCGCTCTCTATGGTCTCATTGTGGGGATCATTCTATCATCCCGAGCTGGTCAGTCTCGTGCAGAATGAAGAGTGCCAAAGCTTATGGTTTCTTGATGTCCTATATCATGATTTAGAATGGGAACTGAGACTATGTTTGCATTGTTCGATTCAATTTGCTATAATTGCCAAACTCTTGTATACATGGGATTCTCAGCATCCCTGTAATCTTACTATATGATAAACCTCCCTTCTTGCGCTGAATTCGTGAGTTCAAAACAATTCCCAACGCTGATGCCTTTAGAACGATCCTGTTAATCTTTAAAAGCAAGGTTGATTTTCATGCTTATTCAAATTTTCTTTTCCCTGTGAATGAGCATGCATAGGATTTCAATTTATGAAAAGAACTTATCTACTTATTCAAATTGATGACTGGCATGATGCTGATTATAATCCAGTGGCCGTGAAATAGAGACCATTTTTGCCGGTAAAAAGAGGGGGGAAAAACCCAGTAGATCAGTCCTTAAGAAATGCAGGCAGATGTCATGGGTTCATTTGATGTGTTCACCTTCTATATGCTTTTATTTGAATCAAGATCATTTCCACATACTGGGTTTTTGATCATTTCCACATACTGGGTTTTGACATGACCAGATGGATGGTTCAAGCATTATGACAGGTGACCGTAATTATATTTTTGCAATTAGGCTAATTGTCTTGTGAGGACTGACGTGCTTAATTAAAGCCCTAAAATTTACCCAGATGATGATGGACGATTCCAATTGATTGGCCAAAAAGGAATCATTCAGCCGAGTGTCGCCGATGAGGATCAATAAACCCCACAGGCCACAGAAGACTTGACCAGAATTGCCCACAAGGACAGGCGCATAAACATAAGCAGACACGGATAAAGAAGAGAGAGATGGCAGTAGCATCGGCAACAAAAGCAGAAGCAAGTGGAGGAACCCAAGATTTTGTGGAACGAGAACGAACGCAGGTTTGAAACCGAAGACAAGGAAGCATACGGAAGATTATGTCCTCGTATGTGATGGGAAAGTGATCGACCTTGCATTCCTATGTGCCACGTTCCAAGAGGGGATTGGGCATGGCTTCTCATCTCTGCGTTGCAGCCTTCAATCATGCCAAATCCACTCCCATGTTTATCAGCCCCACTTGCTCTCATGTATCCTGCAAGTTCAATCACCCCCCAATCTTCTTAGCATCCCTTTCTGGGCCTTCTTTTTTCTGCAGTCTTTGATACTTATTTTTTTTCCCCTCTTATTACCTTGGTGTTTTTAATAGATAAAGGCAGGAAAACATGGATAATTAGGGTGTATTTGGGATAAAGGTAGTGGTGGGTAGTGTTTTTTTTTTTTTTTGGGGTCCTTACAAAAAGCAAGAAAAAACAAGAATTTTAGTGGTAGTTTTTGTGCATTAGAAAAAAGTGGCGGGCTGCACCCCCCTTTTTTTTTTTAAACTCACAATAAGCATGAAAAACTTACTTAAAATGGTAATTTATTATATATTAAATTGGTTGTACATTAAAAAAGATTTAACCACTCTATAATGTAACTCTATTTCTAGTATTTATGAGAATATTTTGGAACTCAATACAAATCATATTTTTTTTAAATTAATTTTTTATAAAAATTAATTTTTATATAATGTTTTGAATAATTTTAATATATTAATTTTAAAAATTAAAAAATATTATTTTAATATATTTTTATATAAAAAACAATTATAAATACACTCCGATTAAACTGAGATGACCTGCTGTGCCCCCTCTGAATTGAAGGCATGTCAATTTCTGCGATCTTCAATCCATTTCGACAAGGATTCAACTTCAACGTTTTTATTGACAACTGATTTGCTACTATGTTATTAGAACCATTTTTTTTAAAAAAAAAAAAAGAAGGAAAAGGCTCCTTTGTTTTGCTGAGGCATCCCACTGATGCTGCTTTATTTCTTGGCAGGACACTTCACGGAACCCATCTTGGAATCCTCGTGTACTCTGAAGGTCTCAAACCTAGCATGTAACCTGGAGCAACGTTTTTTCATCGTTTTTAGAATTTTGAAGAGCAATTAACTTAATCACATAAATTATGAATAGCAAAGGCATTGGAGTTTGGGACACGCCGGATTTATTTTGTATCTGTTTAGTGTCCAATCAATGGTTTGGGAAATGCATACCAAGAACGTCATGAGCAGCGACTGCAGCACAGGAGCAGGCTGCCTCGCTTGTTATTTGCAATTGGCATCAGCGATAATTACGATAGTTCATGAATCTTTGCAAACTTCCCTGAAGAGGAATTACAGCAACCTGATTGTTTTCTTGATACGCTCGCGTCCCATTTTCCTACACTTTTCACCATTTCCCCCCTTGTTAAGAAGCTGAGAATTTAATTGTCAAATGTTCGTCCGCTGCATCTGATCAGGAATCCGTGATGAAAGCAAATAACAACAGTTGGTACACAACACAACACAACATTAAAATAACAACAGTTGGTACACAACACAACATTTCATCTGATAAATACAAATTTAGTTCAACGAACACAAGGCAAAAAAAAATATAATTCACCATATGATACAACATACTTCTTCGGTATAACTACATATTTACAAATGATAAGGATCCCGATTCTAGCCAGGTACATAATAATCCATCTTTTCCACGGGCAGGTTCAAAACTGATGCTTCCACCTATACAGCACACAAGGTCAGACGTTTTAAAAAACAGTCCAAACATAAAAACTAGGAAAGAACTCGGTAACTTTTAAAGCTTCATACAATACGCTAACAGCAACACATCGAACTCAGTACATACCTCTTCAAATGGAACAAATGCGAAAGGAGCTAGACCCCTCTGGTGTGATATCCGTGAAATCACACTCTCTTGCAACTCAACTGGTCCAAGAATGTCCGCCCCTGGCTCAATTATCCCATCACTGTTCACTTTACTTGTAGAAAGTGAGAGTAAATCCATCCTATTGTTGGCCCCTAAAGTTGTCCCCCTCAACCTGCAACAAAGTAATAAACAAAATGGCATAAAATAGAGAAAGGAGCTCCCCCAGTTTATTACATAAATTGACTCTTAAACAATTTCATTTGTTGTGATATTCATTTTGGTCCATGTACACCAGGTCCGCATAAATTTCCGTTTTTAATATAGCATGACATGAAGTTGAACTTATTTGTCAGCGACTGTACCGACACATCACCCACCATCTGTGAGCGTCCTTAAAGTCTAATCAAAATCAAAGGAGAAAAAAAGAAGCTCTTCTATCACCCATAAGCCATGTAGAACCCACGCAAGAACATATGCTTCTCTTTTCCATTCATTAAACGAGCACAAAATGTGGATGCATAACATATCAAGGCTAGAATGTCCAGTACCTCAAGCAGGCTCTCCACATGGTGGGACACAAACCAGGGTACATGAAAGTGGCTTCAACCTGCAACGAACAGGTTCTTTATGAGAAGAGATGTCGTTGTAGATTGTGTATCTACGTAAAACCTGAGTAATGAAAACTAAATACACAAACAGAATATGACGGACAAAATTGTTTGCAATCTCAAAAAGGACCGTACCTTGTCATCTGTCAGTGTGTAGGGGCCACTGAAAACACCATCTGTTTTAGAAGCACGAAAACTCATGCATTTCACAACTTCCTTTACTGTTTGACCAGAAGTCTTGACAATAAAAAATAACAGTCAAAATGATTATTATCAGACACAGAAAAGCAAGAAGCCCACATGATATATGCACGGTGTACTTAAATTAATTGCAGGATTGCTACCTTGTAAAGGAACCTGCCAGAAGGAAAAAATCTCATGTAACGGTAGTAGCAAACCTACAAAAGGAGAGCAAAAAAGTTAAAACAGCAGTGATTAAGAGGAGGAGGAAAAAACGTGTACAAGCATCTTTCATTTCCCTTTCCAAAATATTCCTCTCAGCACCACTGCTTAAATCTTCTCCATGCAGTTATACATGCAACCAAGTTTCATGAATTGGAACTGTAATCATACACTGAATCAAATCAACTAGAAGTGTCTTATCCAAACATGTTACAAGCATACCAAGTGAACTGGATTGGTGACGGTCCACTCTCGCACGCCAGCATGAATATAGGTGTTCCTACTGACATAGAGACCTGACATGTAAAAGAAAATTACATTTGAAGGTTATTTTGGAAGCCCCCAAAGTAAAGAAGTTGAGATAAAAACAGAAGTTTGGATAAGTTCTTCCTTTTCAAAATAAGAATTTCTCAACTTCTCATCATACACAAAATCCATCTTTTTTTAACCTTGTCCAGAAAAGTTCATCGAGTAAAGTATGAATCATATCACCAATGAACTTCCAAATTTTGCAGAAACTAAAATAAGATGCATGTTATTCTAAAACTTAGAACAAGAAAGCACAATCAACTCATACCATCAATACGGATCCTTGGCCTCAAAATCCACATTTTCCTCCACGAGCTCTCATACTTTGATTGCAAAATTTTATAGTTCTCAACCATTCCAGACAGCTACAACAGGATGAAGGAGAAGTACACATTTAAGCTTAGATACAATAACACGAGAGATTCAAAATAAATTTTATAAATGTCTAACTTACCTGCCAAGCCTTTAGGCAAGCATTGCGCCAAAACATGGGGTTACGAAGAGTGTATCTCCATTTTCGACAAACACAAGCTGCCCTTCCCAAATCATAAGGAGCCATTCGTGAAAATACCTGTGCAAGAAAATAAATTTGACTCAGTTACAGCATTCCCTAATCTAAAATGCATGCAAACACAAGTGCTTCTTGATATTGGCATTAGCTAGGGCGGTGAATGAATGGAAATTAGACCAGGTAATAGTTCCTCGATCATGTTTCATTTTCAAGAAGAACTTAATCATCACCTCTAAATGTTGTGAGCCATGGCAGATTATCAAATTCTACGAAGTACCATGTCCAATACTATTCATTGAAGTCACACTGAGCATACCTGTCAATCAAGCAAATAAACCCGATGCAAACATGATTTAAAACGCACACCAACCAAATCCAAATCGTTTTGAATGGCAAAAATGGGACGAAGCTGCCGATGTTATCTCTTTATTTAACACATGTAATCCAGAAGAAAACTTGTGAAACATATTAATTGTTCATTTTTGATGCGCAATACCTCAAAGAGCAGCTCATCGGGCAAGCATCTGTGTATCAACGCTGGATCAACATTTACCCTTCTGCTAGCACTTCCGTATGGTGCAACAGGTCGAACATTAACCCCATAGAGATCTGGAACACAAACATTCAAAAGAATCCATACAAAACAGATTTTAAAAAAAAAAACAATAATCTGGAACACAAACATTCAAAAGAATCCACACAAAACAGATTTTTTTAAAAAAAAAAAACAATGGAAACGTTGGGAACTGGGCATTACCGAGCCACGGTCTCTTTGTAACCAAGTACTGCACAGTCTTCAACCGCAGAGCTGTCTCGAGCTCAGCAGGAATTTGTAATGCAAAATCTGCCAAAAGCCCAAAACACAAAACTTAATTGTATTCTAATTATCTAAGAGAATGGAATAAAATATTAATGACTTTCTTTTATTATTATTATTATTATTATTTTGCCTCATCAGAAGATGTTAACGAAGAATAATAATGTGGGACCTAAAACAGTACAAGTCCGCCCAGAGATTTAAACTTTTGATCTTTTCTTTCTCCTTCATGCAAAATCCGATAATCGAATTACACAAACCGACTTACTTTTACAATAGAACCATCGATTGGCGATCGGTCAAATCATGAAACTGGAATGGCAAAATTGAAATTAAGAGATTACCTGAACTCATGTGGATTGAGACATGGGGATGGCTCTTCTTCTTTTCTTGCTATGAATATGGATAAAGCCCCTTTTCCCTTTCTGTTCCTGGTTTTTCTTCGGGAAAACGAGGAAGCGAGCAAGAATAGTGGTAGGAAATGTTGTGGTGTGGCGCTACAAGTTACCAAACGCTGACTGTGAGATCTTGTTCAAATTGATGTCCGATTCGATGCTCGTGGACCCCACGATTTTTACCATGATATTGGATCGGTACGATTTTCTTGCATATTGTTTCGAATTTAAGCAATATATATATATATAACATTTGATATTTTATATTTTATATATCATAAATCTCATCCATTTAATCTTTTCTTGCCCAGATGGGTTAAATATATAGGGTTGTTTAGATATTATAAATATTTAAAACTTTAATTTATATAGTTAATTTTCATGTGTTGAGAGTAATTAAAATTAAAATTTAATAAATTAGCTAAAGATATGTAATAAATAATTCATGCTTAATACATCAACTAAATTATTTAACTAAAACAAAAGAATTAATTGAAAAAATTATAATAACAAATTAAATTTTAAACACAAAAAAAAAAATATAATAAGTTTTGAACATTAAGCATCACATATCCTTAAGTATCAATATTGGAGCAATTAATATCACATATTTCCTGAATTAAGTTTGTGAAATACAAGCACACACGGTGAAGTTGATCGTGGCAAATTTCTCAATATTTAGCAGACGACACGCATGGGCTCCTCATGAAATAAATTAAATAAAAAAGCTCGGGGATTTGTTTACTTTCAACCAACCATACAGTGTCGAAATCAAAAAACTTCCCACGCCACAACATATAAATGCGTGCTAGAGTGGTGTCTGTATATATATTCCGGATAGAGTTAATTTTTTTTAAAAAAATAAATTAAAATATTTAGATAATAATAAAATTAATTTAGATTAGCTTCATATGACTCAGAATATAAAATTAATATAATATTATAAAAAACACAAGAAAAAAAACCACAAAACTTAACATCCAATAACTAAATATCAAATAATAAACTTAACACAATATGTTTTTCAAGATAATATGATTGGTATTAAAAAATTAAATGTATGTTTTCAAATGGTAAAACTTATATTAAATTGAAAAAATACTAAAAAGTTAAATTTAATTTTATGCTTAAAAACATTCTTATAATTTTTAAGGTAATAAGAAACTAAATTAAAAGAATTAAAAAAAAACAAGATAATAATATTTATTCAATATCGTTAAATTTAAAATTTGTTTTTCCTTTTTTTAAATAAAATCTTTATTTTATTTTATTTTAATTTATGCAGTTGCGAATTTGCAGGGGAGAACAAAATCAGGCTCCTTTTTTAACAAATGGATCTTGACGTCCTCGATCCAAGAACCGAAGCCCAGCACTCAAGCATCAAGGCAGTTTTAGGTCCACAACAAGAAGCGTGCAAGTTCTTATTCTCTTTTCTGAACCCCCAGCGCCTAGAGAACGGAACACTCAAGACTCAAATCACAAGACCAGAGGAATACAGAATTATCCGATACTCCTCTCTCTAGAAATATCTACCAGTTTTATGGATGACCATGTTAAAAGCTTGCACTGTTCATTTTCGTTTTCAGAGCTGCGATTTCCTCATCAAATGTCTGCGTCGCAAAGAGGGGTGGAGCTTGTAAGAAAATAGGGTTACATATGGTTCTGTTTGCCAACCAGAACTGCGTGGCCTCTGTTTTTCAAGGATCCTTGCAGTCCACACCCCGGCTAAAGGAAACAAATCTTGCGCCGTTGAGGCCCCATACACTACGTGCTCCTTCAGGTTTCAAGCCGTAGAGTCAAAGTGAAAAAGAAAACGATGAAAGATCTTGGTCCGACCCATCCCGAGATCCTGCCGGCCTTTTTAAAGTTAAAAGTCATTGCTTTGAAGTTTAAAAGAAGTCATCAATCGAACTAAAAATGAACGATGCGACCCGGTGCGTTTCCAAAAATTTGAATTTTTTTATCAAATCCTGAGAATGGTTAAGATTTTTTCTTGAACGGTTGGCTGAATCTTTGATGCTGCAATTTAAAGAGATATCTTATGTAAATCTTGGAATCTTATTTTTTAGATTTATTTAAAGAAATAAATATAAATAGAAGAAATAAATCATGTGTGAAGATATTTTATTATTTTTAGCAAGTTATAATTATTTTTTTCTATTTCTCGTTTTTTTTTTCAAGATAGACTCTGAGCATGATAGAATCTTTTCAATTTACAAATCCAATAAAAAAAAATTAACAAAAAATGATTTGGTTTTATTTTAAAAAAATCAAAATTTTCATATAGCACTATAATTGTCTCAATAAAAAGATTAAAAAAAAAAACAAGAAACAAGAAACCAAGTCCAAATTTCATTGTGGTATATTGCAAACAATACATGTTATTGTAATTTTTTTTATTTTTTAATGGATTAGGATATTGATTGTTTTTGTATTATAAAAATATTTTTGAAAGAAATTAATTTTTTATATATTTTTTAAAATTGTTTTGATGTAATAATATTAATTTTATATATTTTTTAAAATTGTTTTGATGCAATAATATTAAAAAAAAATTAAAAATTATTATAATATATTTATAAAAAATAAAAAAATTATTAACATAATATTAAATAAATAATATTAAAAAAAAATTAAAAATTATTATAATATATTTATAAAAAAAATTATTAACATAATATTAAATAATTTTTTTTTCAAATTTATCATGAAAACATGAATAAAAGCGTCAATTTGAAATTAGTCATTCCTACCTTCGAACCCGTTTTTTCATTGGCAATAGCAGTGCCCTTACTCTATTTTTCCGTCGGTGGAGAAGGATGACGTAAGCCAAAACCATCAAGCACGACTTTTTAGAAAAACGAATAAAGAAAGGAAAATGGAAAACATATAAAATCATAGGAGAGAATGGAATAGTGCGTTTCTGAAGTTTGGACGGCTCTAAGGTGCTCTTTGATTATTATGAATAAAATGGTGGAAATTACATGAAGAAATTGAAGTGACATTTTAATTTCAATATTATGTGTGAAATAATTATAAATAAATAATAATTCATCAAATGATTTCATTAATAATAATTATAATAAAAGTAATAATAACAATTTTAATGGTGGTAAAAGAAAAGGAGTAAGAATAAATGATAGGAGAATAATAATAATTTAAGAGAACTAAAGTCATTAAAATATAAATGATGGTAGTATCGAGAAAGAAAAGCGATGGAAATAGTAAAATAGTGGCAATGCAGTAATAATAATTTATTTATTTAAAAAAAACAATAATTTCATTATTATTAGTGATATCGGTTAGTTATGATAGTTATAAAAATAATTAATATACAATAAATAAAAATGATATGATCTCTTTATAAAAAAATCATTTTCATTTTTTATTCACACCTCTTCACATAAAAATGAAATTATGTATTTTTATTCTTCATTTTAACCAAAATAAAACTCTCACTTTTATTCTCATCATTTCATTTTTTAATTACCAAACATATCCACGCACGTACATTTCGCCAGTTGGTAGTCGTAGAGTACGAGATCCATTGATGTGGTCATGGAGGAGAAATTATTCACGTTTACGAAGCGGACATCCCATCCCAGGAGCAGAGGGTTTCTCTTATCGACACCTGTACAGATATTTTGTGAAAAAATCGTACAGCTAGAAGAACTTTGATTACCTGCCGACACGTTGCATGAATCACCAATAATACTCGTCTGCTTTTACTTGTGTTTTTAAATGGTTTTAATGTTTTTATATTAAAGATAATTTTAAAAAATAAAAAATATTATTTAAATTTATTTTCAAACAAAAAAATATTTTAATTTCAATACAATATCTTTCAAATTTCATGCTTTGCACTTATGTTATAACTCTATAGCCTTGTCTTTCTTGACCATTTATCTACATTGTTATATCGATTTGTTTACTTTTATTTTAAAGGTTTATTTTAATTTATTCTTAGTTTCCGCTAACTTTCCTTGACCCAAGAAAACTAACTTCTCCTTGCGGTTTCATTGCTTGGGGACCTTTAATCTCTCTTTTTTTTTCCTTGTGATTTCATTATACTGTAATGCACATTCTGATTAAGTCTGTCGCCTTTTCACATATCAAAACCTTAAATAACTATTTTGCAATTGATTGTATTTTTTTTTTTTGCCTGTTTTATATTGCAGTAGCTGTTTTTTCCTTAAATAACTATTTTGCAATTGATTGTAAAATAAGTTTTTTTTTGGCTGTTTTATATTGCAGTTGTAGTTGTTTTTTTGCTAAAATATATTAAAATAATATTTTTTTTATTTTTAAAAAATTATTTTTAAAATCAACACTTCAAAATTATTTAAAATATAAAAAAAATAACCTTTTATAAAAATATTAAAAATTTTATAAAACATAATTTGCAACATATTTCTAAATATCAAACTATTTGTGATAATAGCTCTGCAATGAATACAAATTTAACGGATGAAAAAATCCTAAAAGACTCAAATTTAATGGGCACAAGATCCTTCAATACAACATCTTTTAAAATATCCCTTGAAATAACTTTTTAGCTCATTGTCCGTATAAAAAAACCATTCATGAATACATTCACAAGTTTAAGTTTTACAATATTTTTATTCTTAGTATTTTTAGTAAATATATTTTTAAAGTTTATCTCTTTAAAATATTATAATAATTTTACTTTCTACAGAATTACCAATTTAAATATCTAAACATCCCTACACCAATCAAATAAAATATTTTAAGATACTAGCTATAAATCACTCTGACTTTCCTGATATTAAATACCAAATTGAGTTTTTCACATCAACTACCCAGCAAAAATATGTCTTTGATGGAACTAAATTATCAACCTACTTAATTTAAAGCTGCTTAGAAGTTCGGTATCACTTTTTTTAAGCTATAGGCGTCCTTGGAACTCATGACATTATCTCCAAACTCCCTAAGCAGTCCGTAGGCCCAGATGGTCTCTTTCCGTGTACGAGGGACTCTCTCGAGCATGTTGATCTTTCAAAAATGCAGCAACATTTCGGGCAATTCTTGTCACAATTCTACGGCCAGTTAAAGGCTTTCGGTCCATCACTTCGTGGTCCTCGAAAGCGGGC